CTGAGTCACATGAAGATACAGTTGTGTTCACTTTGTTTATTCCATTCTCTGCACCCTAACCCCATAGGACCCTGGGTCGGCTTCCTTTTCAATGTTCTGCTTATTGGGACCTCCTTCCTTCATCCTGAGCTGGCATTCACCATAGCTGACTTCCTCTCTGCACTGTCTGCATTTCTGGCTGCATTCTGCTTCCTTCCCAGCTCCACTGCCCTCAGAAGAGGAAGGACACCCTGCCTGGCCTTGCAGCACTGTCCACTGTCTCCAAAGAGGCTCCTACTGCAGCTGACTGTGGTTAGTCCAGAAAGAAGAGTGAGGAATCTTCCCAATGCAGCACTGGGCAGCCACCTCACCACTGGGTCCTCAAGATATATCTAAGCAGTAAGAGGTTATCCCAGTCTGGATAAAAGGGAACCAAGGCAGGTGAAGAAGCCGCCCAAGGTCCATGGCTAATCAGTGGCAGTGCAGAATTCAAATGCAGGCTGTTTCTTTACAGGCAGTTTCTTCCCTTCCCTTCCCAAGGACTGTTTCCGTATGTATAAGATAGGGATAAAAATATCTTCCCTGCCTGCTTCCCAGGGGCATCGTAGGGATTCCAGCAAATAATGGAGTTAATAGGACAAAGTTGCATCTGCTTCAGATATTCTTTGTATTCCTCCATTCTGGAATCAGAGGTTCTCAGCAGCTCTCCTCCCTAGCACCCCTTTTTCTCCACCTACCCCTGGAAGAGTAGTTAATGGCAAAAGCCCTAGAGTTTTTAGGCATGGGCTCACAGCTGTGACTTACTCAGTTAGCTTACTCAGTTATGAAATCAGAACTTTCTAAAAATATTTGTACAAGGAAGGGAAAGGAGAAATAAAAGAAAACCCCAGGAACCTGAGAGATCTTAATCTCTTTCACCCAGGTGCTAATTCCATCTTTGTTAATTTCTGTACACATTTGCAGTCAGGAGACCTGGATTCCAGACATGGCCTCACCACTTAGAAGTATGTGATGATGGGCAGTTTCTTCCCTTCTCCTCCCAAGGACTGTTTCCGTGTGTATAAGATAGGGATAAAAATATCTTCCCTGCCTGCTTCCCAGGGGCATCGTAGGGATTCCAGCAAATAATGGAGTTAATAGGACAAAGTTGCATCTGCCTCAGATATTCTTTGTATTCCTCCATTCTGGAATCAGAGGTTCTCAGCAGCTCTCCTCCCTAGCACCCAATTCCTTGGACTTGATCTTCAGCTGCTCCCATAATCACTGGCTTTGTGCAAAAGCTTTTAGTGACCTCAAAACATCCTTACATTTCTGAGACAGCTGATAGTAAAGCTAGGACTATTCTACTCAGTACATGCCAAACGCCGTGTTGGGCGTTTTGTATTCTTGAATCGTTAAAATAAATTATGGATGGTAAGTACTGGATTTTTGATTAATAAAATATAGTTTGTGTGTATGTTTTGTTTTAATATCTTATGCTCTTGAATATAAAACTCCCATGTTGGTCTTAGCCTCATACCAAGGAGAATTAGATAATCACTAAGAGTTTATAAAACAGAGCACAAGAGATCCAGTGGGAGAATAGTGTGTCTTAATAAGGTGGGAATCTTTTTTCACAGACATTGGGGAAATGTAGGCATTACTACCCCCATTTTACATTTAAGGAACTGGAGGGTCTGAGTGGTAAAATAACTGCTCAGAACCACACAGCCAGTGAGTGGTGGTTTGAATCCAGAATTTGAGGTTAAGTTTCACTGGATTCAAAGCCTGTTTTCTTTCAACCATGCTACATGTTTTGTCTGCAGAATCCCATGGTGCTCTTGTCCTCATCAGAATACATCCCTTCTTCCTTTAAGCAAGGCCAGTAAAAGTTTGGGATCAAGCATAAAAGCAAAAGTAACACTCAGGGCATCATTACCCAGACTTCCTTGAAATTGGGTGCATGGAAGGCAAGCTAGAGTACGGATGGAGATTCATGGCTGGGATGGGTGGTGTGACTTAGGCTAAGAGAGAAGCGCTGAAGTGGTCCACATGCACAATCCTGGGAGAGCATGTTGATAATGTAACATTGTGGCACAGCTCGATGTGAATTAATCCAATGCACATACTTAGTGCCTCTCATATATTTGCTAGTGCTGGAGCTACTGTGTTCAGATGTGGTTCCTTCCCCTTGTAAACAGCTGGCAAGCCTGAGTTGATGGAAAGCATTTGTTAGCTGTTTAAAAATTACAATTAAAAATACAAAGACGAATAGCTAATACATAATATCTTTTGGAACTTGGTAGGAAATGGAGGAAGAGAGTATCAGGGCTGGGGCTGTGTGGGTGCGTTTACTTAATGAACTCATTCTGGTGTTTGTATGCCTGTTGGGGCAAGCTTGGCAGAACCACAGAAGTTAAGGAGGTGGTTCAGGGGGATTTGGAGGTCATTTTTTGGTTTACTCCATCTTCCCACAGAGGACAGTGAGACTGGGCTCCTTTTATTCCAATCCTTCTAGTACCTAACATAGTTGAAGCTTAGAGACCTCAGCACACCCGCCCCAATAGTGCAGCCACTTGGCCCTGTCTTAGCTAAGAACTCATTGTATCATCTACACACATTCCTCCTCCACTGGCTTTCCTCTTGCCAGCCCAGGAGCTGATAGAATGATGCCCAGGTGGCTCTGCCAGTTAGAGAAAATTGTGACTAGTCAATCACTGGAAAAGTGAGAAGACAGGATAAATATTTTAAAAATACAAATGCATCACTTCTTGGCCTTTTGGCTAAGATGAAGTATAAAAACACAATATAATGTTTTTGCAATCTGAGAATTTTCAAAGCTTTGGCATCTACTGTCTCATCGATTTAGATTTGATTCTCAGAATCAATAAGCTATGAGATAGAGACGCTAGTAGCTATTTACAGGTGGAGACAGAAACTCAGAAAAGACAGGGTGTACTAACCCTAAGAGGCACAAGAGTAAGAAAGCACAGAGAAGAGGCAGATTACTAAGCCTTCATCAGGGAAGACTTCCTGGACGTTAGCCAAAAGCTGAGTAGAAAAATACAGTTATGCACTGAATAGATGAAGAAGGGGAGACTCCAGGTGGATGACTTTGCAAACACTTGAAAGCATAAGGAAGGCTGGAGCAACCTTGCTCAGGATAATAATAACAAGAGCTATGACAATGACAGAAGGTAACGCCTATCATTGCTTACTACACAGATACTGGCAGATACTCTACCAGATGGTTTATTGACATTAATTCTCACATTTAATCTTATAAGGTAGGTGCTTTTTTATCAATCCCATTTTACAGATGAGGAAACTAAGGCACAAAGAAGTTTAGTAGCTTGCCCATCAGGTCATAGAGGGATGATTTCACATGTTAATTTAAGAAGTATGAATTTTATCCTGAGAATCATGAGCACCCCCCCCACACACACACACACTCTCTAAGCTTGAAGTATTCTTAGCAGAGAGTAGATGGGCAAAGTTTTCTCTGAGGAAGAATACACAAACTGAAGAAGGGGAGAGAAACTAGAAGCTGGCTAGGCTATTTGTCCAAGACCTGAGCAGAGAGACAGTGGGGATAAGAGCACAGGGGTAGCACCACAATTCCTGGCATTTGTGGATTAGAAATTGTCCCTTGCATCTGCACTTCCTCTACCTATAAAGACAAAATAATATGTTTCCATCTACCTGCCTCAGGAATTGCTTGAAAATTAATGGGGAAGAGGCCCGGCTGGCTTTCATGTGTCAAACAACACCCTTGTTCTACTGGTGGTGTGCATTAAATGCTGAATATATAAAATGTGCTTTGATGGAGGGCCTGGGAATAATTGTAGCTTGCTAATTATTGTTAATTTTACCACAGCTTTGGAATCCTGAACTTTCTCAATGATTCAAAAAGAGATTGCAACCCCTCCATTCCATTAAAGGAGCCACAGTGGCAGACCAGCAATTTCTCACAGGCTCCATTCTTTCATTATGTTCAGTGGTTCAGCTACTTACATGGGATACAGAAAAAGAAAAGCAATAATTTGCTCCTTTAGAATAAAATTGTACAAAGAACCCCTTGTGGTCTAGCTGGCTCTTTAAGAATTTGTTCCTTTTCATCGCTACACCAAATACAGACATAAATATTGTGTATGTAAGTGTGAGTGTGTGTGTAAGAAAGAAAGGAGTGTTTAACAGAACTTTTAACATAGTGGACACCAGAACAGCTGCGTTTACCTGTGATGTAGTAACAACTGCTTTCCTAATTTTTCTTCAGATTCTGCAGCCACTTTGTTTCCACAAATATTTATTTTCAGTCTCATAACAGCCAGGCAGAGAACCAAAGACCTCTCCCAGGAATCTGAGGAAAACTGATGGCTGTATGACTTTAGGTCTCTGAACCTCAGTCCATGCCTGTGGATCCATAACTGTTGGGACTGGTATGAGGCTGAGACAATGTTTGTGATGGCACATTATGCAAATGTGTGCTATTAGGAGAAATGGCGGGGGGGGGGCGGGGAAGACAGAGAGTAAAGGAACTTGAAGGGAGAAAAACTTGGGGAAGGGAGAGAGAAAAGGAGGCGAGTCTCGGGGCGGGATGGGGAGGAGCGCGAATGTCTTGAGCTGCACTTCTCAGTAAACCTGCTAAGAATCTGCCTGGAAGAGCAACCAGGACAGATCCCAAGCCAGAGGCAGCGCGGAGGGCGGGTCCTCCCAGGGTGGGGCCGGGTCCCGGCTGCCACAGCCACAGGTGAGTATCGGTTTTCCTCTGCCGGGTTTTCGGTCGGGAGGAGGAGGGGAAATTTCCCCTGCCCTGATCCTATCGCGGGCGGCGCAGGGCCGGCTAGGCCCTCCGTGGGACGGGGATGTGTCACCCAAATACCATTGGATGAGTCGAGGCGAACCTGCCGGGCCTGTCGGACCGAGTATAAGAGCAGGAGGGAAGCGGCCGGGCGGCAGACTGTCCCAGGCGCAGGAGCCGGAGTCCGCCGAGTCCTAGAGCCTCGTCCGCCATCACCAGGTCCGCGCTTCTCCGCCCCACCATGGCCAGGGGCTCGGGCTTCGCGCCACCGCCGCTGCTGGTGTTGCTGGTGCTGGTGGTGACTCGCTGTGCGGCGGCGCAGAACAACTGCACGTGCCCCACCAACAGGATGACCGTGTGCAGCCCGGACGGCCCCGGCGGCCGCTGCCAGTGCCGCGCGCTCGGCTCCAGAGTGGTGGTCGACTGCTCCACGCTGACCTCCAAGTGCCTGCTGCTTAAGGCGCGCATGACCGCCCCGAAGACCGGCCGCACGCTGGTGCGGCCTAGCGAGCATGCGATCTTGGACAACGATGGCCTCTACGACCCCGAGTGCGACCACGAGGGCCGCTTCAAGGCGCGCCAGTGCAACCAGACGTCGGTGTGCTGGTGCGTGAACTCGGTGGGCGTGCGCCGCACAGACAAGGGTGATCAGAGCCTGCGTTGCGACGAGGTGGTGCGCACCCATCACATCCTTATCGACCTGCGCCACCGCCAGACAGACCGCGCCTTCAACCACTCGGACCTGGACACCGAGCTGCGGCGGCTCTTCCACGAGCGCTATCGCCTGCACCCCAGGTTCGTGGCGGCGGTGCACTACGAGGAGCCCACCATCCAGATCGAGCTCCGGCAGAACGCATCGCAGAAGGCCCCCGGCGACGTGGACATCGGAGACGCCGCCTACTACTTCGAGAGGGACGTCAAGGGCGAGTCGCTGTTCCAGGGCCGCCGTGATCTGGACGTGCGTGTCCGCGGGGAACCCCTGCAAGTGGAGCAGACACTCATCTACTACCTGGACGAGAAACCTCCCCAGTTCTCCATGAAGCGCCTTACCGCGGGCCTCATCGCCGTCATCGCGGTGGTCGCAGTGGCCCTTGTCGCCGGCGTAGTCGTCCTGGTGATCACCAACCGTAGGAAGTCAGGGAAGTACAAGAAGGTGGAGATCAAGGAGATGGGGGAACTGAGAAATGAACCGAGCTTGTAGGTTGCCTGGTGAGGCAGGGTGGGGTAGGGTATCGGAGTGAGTCATGCTTCTTGATTCTTGGCCTAAAGGAGGCATTAATTCTCCCCAAACCTTACCCTCTCCCTCCCCTCTCCATACACATCAAGTTTGCTAGATCCTGGTTTCGGGGTCACTTATTTCTGCCTTCTGTCTTGAAGGAAGCATTTCTAAAATGCCTTGCCTTTTGGCCCAACAAGAAACCTGATCCCTCTTCTCCCCCGCCCCGCAGAGTTAAGGAAAGGATGGCGCCCTGAAATGTGTTAGAAGCAAGTGACTGACAGCACAGAGTTGTTTTCAAGTGACTAAGGCTCAAAAGGGTTTAGATGCAAGCAGCGTATTTACTGTCTTGGTTTAAGTTACTTGGCCTTCCCGAGGAGAAGAGAAGTTTATTAATCGGGCCCGTGTAGTGTCCTCATTGCCATAGTTTGTATCATCTGCCACATCGATAGCAGGATAGAAGCCGGTTTCCGCCACCTGAACACATTTTAGATGTCTTTGTTGGAAGCAGCGTGTATTCCTCAACTCACCTTTAGGATAGCTGGAATTAGTAATGTTTTCTTTTGTAAAATGTTTGTATATAAGCCGTCTTTGATAATGCTGCTGTGATTTTTTAAAAAAATGAATTTAATAAAATATGGGAAAGCCACAAACCAAAAGATGGAGTGTGTGAAAACTCCCTCCAGAGTTACACCACTTTTGTTTCCTCTATCTAATTTCTCAAGATTTGGGTTATTTCAAACTAACACTTCTTTGCACAAGTGGCCACTCCAGTATATCCAGAGCTGACCTAACTGGCCTGTATAAGTGCTCTTCTTTCTAAGATTATTTGGAGGGTTGGAAATGTTCAGTGGTAGAGCCCTTGCCTTGGATTTCATACCCAGAGGGTGGGGGTGGGGGAGATTTGGAAACCTCTTTTAAAGATGGAGGGTGGTTTGAGGGAGGAGGCTAAAACTAGCAGCCTTAATTGTGTGTATGTGTGTGGGGGGGGTGTCAAACTTCTTTGACTATCACTGAATAAAGCTTCCCACTAGTGATTTCTTTCACAAACCCTATCTCTGAATCCCAGCCCTCCTTTGAAATAGGAGGTACTATTCTCACTTAGCCCTTGGGCAAATTTCCTAATCTCAGTGTTGTGGCTCTAAGAGGTTAAACAACTTTCCCACACACTAACTACAGCTTGTCTGTAGTGACTCTATGATCTGGCTATGTGTGTATGGGTTGTTTCCCTAAGGTTTTATTAGTAATGTACTTTGAAGATCCTTTATTTTCTATTAGCTGTAGAAAAACAGCCATTGACTCCTTCATGCTTATCTCCTTTCCACTCATTCATATTCATTTATGTGAAACCAAGTGTGTCACTGTGGGCAGCCTAGAAGGTAAACAAGTTACTGCAGTAACTGGGAAGCTGCCCAGAGCTGGTGGCTCATACTTGTAATCCTGGCTACTCAGGAGGCAGAGTACAGGAGGATCACAGTTTGAAGCCAGCCCGGGCAAATAGTTTATGAGACTCTATCTTGAAAAAAAAAAAAAAAACCCATCACAAAAATAGGACTGGTAGAGTGGCTTGAAGCGTAGGCCCTGAGTTCAAGCCCCAGTACCTCAAAAAAAAAAAAAAATCAGGAAGCTGATGCTACAATGAGTGTTGAGTGTGTGTAAAGGAGGAAGTGACTGGTATATCAAATATTCACAACAAATAAATAGATCCAGAACTTCAGTTCCCTCCCCGACCCCAGGAAAACATGTCATGACTCTCCTCCCACCTCACCTCTGCAGTCTATGCTGACTGTCAGAACTGAAGTACCATTAGAATAGGAGACAGCGCTAGTTACTGTCTCTTCACTGTCTCTTCAGTTTGGAGCTAAAGGTTTTGAATGCTAGCGGAATGAATACATTAACATCACCAAGGATCTCAGTGTCTGCTGCCACCCCAGCAAGGAAGGAACTCTTCCAGCCTCAAATGGGACTTCACAAGGGGAGAGGGCAGATATCAGCTGGCCCCTTGCAGTGGAATGGTGGCAGAAGTGCCAGAGGTTAGAACAGGTAACAATGAGAGTGAGACTCTACTCCCAGCTTCCTAGGTGCTTTCCCCTTCCTGAGTCACCCAAGTGCCTTAGCCGATGGGACTGTGCGATCCTCTGACCTACCCTCATTTCATAGGTGAAAAGAAAACATAACTTCTCAAGATTAATGTTCCTGTAGCATAGCTGGAACAAGAAAGCCTCGCTGTTTCAAGAGTCACTTCAAAAAACCACCACTGGACTGTCTAGAAAATAAACAGATTAGGGCTGAATGGGCAGTCTTCTATCAGAATGTCTTCTCTGTGTAACACTTAAGTTTCTGCAATAGTGCTAGACTATGACTCCCTGCACTTAATAGCCCTCACAGTTCAAAAAGCACTTTTGTGTGTATGATCTTTGTGATACTGATTACTGAGAATAACTGAAGTTAGATCCTGCTCCTTTGGATGAGGCAGTCATGTAACTCCTTTGTCTGCTCAACTGGTCAGTGAAACTACCAATCCCTCTCTATGTATGTGGCAAGAGCTCAGTATATTTACATTTTTTTTTCTAATTTTATCCATGATAAACATGAGAAAACTGAGGTCAGAAGAGGTTGACTAAACTCATGAGTTCATGTCCTTTTGCCAAAGCCAGGGTTTAGAGCCTTGGCTTTACCTTCCTGGCTCAGGTTGCTATCCCATGGTTCTACTTTGAGATTGTGCTCAGGTCTCCTGACCCAGCTACCTTCAGGGCGCAGTCTCCACCTCCAGGATTCCAACTCCTTCTCAAATTTACCATTCACTGCTTTGAGCTCAGGCCTGGGCTGGGCTCAAAAGGAATGTGAGAAGCAGGTGCGGCTCACCCAGCAGGTTGCAGCTTGTCTTCTGAGTCTCCAGAAGGCTCACTGATGTCCTTGTCTCAATCACCAGGGCTTTCTCTACTCTTGCAGTCTCCTTAGTTAGAGGAATTTTTAAAATTATCCCCTCCTCTTACATACTTTTTGCTTCATCATTTTCTAAGTAGAATGTTGAAGCTGAAAAGCAGGTCATTTAGTCCAATACCCCCATTCTACTGAAGCCCAGAGAGAAGGGGCTTCCCAAGTCGGGTGGAGTACTACTTGACAGTTTCAAAACCCTGATTCTATCCCATCTAGGGTTCATTCTGCTTGCCTCCCTATGGCCTCCTGTTTATTTATTTTTTCTTGGTCATTTCTGTTCTTAAATTGTGGTTAAATTGTGGCTTTGAATGTCACTTAAGTGGAGAGATGTTTTGGTGAAATGTAAAATGGATGAGCTGTGAAATTACTTGGCTGCTATATTCTTATTTGTAAAGTAGAACATGCAGACAGAAGACCTGAAAAGACTATTTACTGAGGTTTCACTCCTGTTTGAACTACTGCAAGTCACCCAAAGAATGTAGGGAAAAATTTACCAGCGGTGGCTGAACTCATTCTAGTAAACTATGAATAGAATTTCCACTCCACTTTCTTATGAGAACATCTCTGTTCTTAGACTTTTGCTGTTAGGGATGCAAGCACCACCTATTTACAGAGGTAGAGCCATGGCACCTGCTTTGTATAAAACAGCTATGCCCAGCCAGATGGCACACTGATCTTCAACTATGATGTGAGGGAGAAGCAAATGTCTATCATTTCAAACCACAGGTTAGTTTTTCTAAACCCCCAAATTCCAAATGCTGCAAAATCTGAAACATTTTGAGCACTGACATGATGCCACAGTGGAAAATTCCATACCTGACCTCATGTGATGAGTCCCAATCAAAACACAGGTGCCCTAAAAATATTCTAGATGGTGGTGTGGCGGCTCATGCCTGTAATTCCAGCTACTCAGGAGGTGGAGGCAGGAACATGAGTTACAGCTCAACCCCAGGCACAGTTAGTGAAACCCTACCTCAAAAATAAAACACAAACAAAGGACTGGGAGCCTAGCACATAGACTGTCCTGGGTTTAATCTCCAGTATAGAGAAAGAGGAAGGAAAGGAGAGAGAGAGAGAACAAATTTATCTTCAGCCTATGTGTTTAAGATATATGTGAAATACAAATGAATTTCATGTTTAGAGGAGTCATATTCCAAGATATCTCATTGTGTATATACAAATATTTCAAAATCAAAATCAATCAGAAATCTTTTTTTAATTCATTTATTCACATGTGTATACATTGTTTGGGTCATTTCTCCCCCCTAACCCTGACCCCACTCTCTCCCTCCCTCCCCCCCTCACTCCCAGGCAGAACCTGTTTTGCTCTTATCTCTAATTTTGTTGAAAAAAAGACATAAGCATAATAAGGAAGACAAAGCGTTTTGCTAGTTGAGTTAAGGATAGCTATACAGAAATATTCGTAGCATTAACTTCTATGTACAAATGTGTTACAAACCATGTTGATTCATCGCTAACTGATCTTTGCACTGGTTCCTGATCCCCTTCTCATGTTAACCTCTGTTGATTTAAGGTTTCGGTATTAGTTCCTCTGGAGTGGGGACATCAAATGCTTTCATGTTTTGGGTTTTCTACCTATTCCTATATTTCCCATCTGTGCTCTCCCCTTGTCATGTGATCCAAGTCCAACCACATTGCTGCATTTGCCCTAGATCTAAAGTCTGCATGTGAGAGAGAACATATGATTTTTGGTCTTCTGAGCCTGGCTAACCTCACTCAGAATGATGTTCTCAGTTCCATTCATTTACCTGTAAATGGTAAGATTTCATTCTTCTTCATGGCTGAGTAAAATTCCATTGTGTACAAGTACCACACTTTCTTTTTGTTTGTTTGTTTGTTTTTTCTGCTTCCAAGAGTGTAAAGATTGGGTACTCCAGAGAAGCACACATGCCATGACGATTTGGGAGGAAAACAGTCAAGTAAAAGAAATGTATCTGAGTAACTTAATAGTATTTAGCATGAGTTTAGCTGTTCGTATGCATCCAAATGATAGAAAAGGAATATGGCCTTGTGTTTCACTCAGT